TTTCCTCCTCAACCTAGCGAAGAAATGGAATCGAAAAACGTATTAATAACGCCACAAAAAAAAGAAAACCCAGACGGGAAAGAAATTATCTGGAATTGAGAAATTTCGAGGTGTCATTTAGGTCTGGGACTGTTGTCCTCGAGACCGTTAAAGAGCTTAAGCAATAACGCCTGGTAAAAACTGAATTTATATTTTACTTTCGAATTTCGTAATTGTCTTGATATGTTCAGCGCGCCTATTGGTCTCAGAACTTGCTCTGGCTATATATGTAACGCCAGCGCTCAGTTCGGAAACGAAAATACGAAAAATAAGCCGCCGTCGTTCGCGTTCTCCTAAATACACAGAACTTCGTCATTTCACGTCGTCGTTGNCCCCCTCCCGGGGCCATAGGGTAGGCCACAGGGTAGGCCATGGCCTACCCCATGGCCCAGGCCATGGCCTACCCCACGTTTTGTCCACACCCCCCTGGGCCCTCATGGTCATTCTTAAAAACAAACATTTCAGTCTGGATGTCAACTACGGAACCGGCGTCTACTGTCAAAAGGAAAATAAGGTGACGCAAGTAGAGTTCATTCGCCGGTTGCTTCCTTTCGATTGAAAGTTCAAAAGTATTAGGCCACGATGGACCATGGATACAACGGCGAGAAGGATATTTTGTTTTCATTTGGTTTAATCACCGATATTCAATATGCTGACATAAACGATCGGCAAAACTATTCAAAGACAAAATGGCGACGGTACCGAAACGCACTGTTTTGCCTTCAAGAAGCAGTTGCACATTGGAAAGCAGTTGAGAAGTGTTCACCAGCGTTTATTGTTCAGTTGGGAGATATTATTGATGGTTTTAACGCAAGTCTGGTCGATGCGAATAGTAACGAAAGAAATTTCTCAAAAGAAGCACTCGACACTGTGATGAAGGAGTTCTCGAAGCTTCCTCATGAAATGCCTGTTTTTCATAACTTGGGAAATCACGAGCTTTATAATTTCTCTCGTAAGGAGCTCGCAAAATCAGTTCTTCATCCCTTCAACAGCTGTGCAAGTGCCTCATACCTTAGCATGCATCAAAGCCATCCACTAATGAGCAAAGGAGGAACCAAACCATTTTATTTCTCGTTCACACCACATCCCAAATTTTGTTTTGTTTACTTGGATAGCTACGACGTAAGCATACTTGGTGAAGATGAGAGTAGCCCTCGGTACAAACGAGGCATTGAAATGTTACGCAGGCACAACAAGAATGAAGATCTGGAGAGCCTGGATGGCCTTAATGGCCTGGAGAGACGTTTTGTTGAATTTAATGGTGCTATTGGTACAGCACAGTTGGCATGGCTGAAAAATGTCCTTCAACAGACGCAGAAAAATGGCCAAAAAGTTGTCATATTTTCTCACGTCCCCATCCACCCGGGAAACAGAAAGCCACTTGACCTGCTGTGGAACTATGAGGATGTCCTTGAGGTGCTGTGGCAGTTTCGCTGTGTGGCTGCCTGTCTTCATGGTCACACCCATCAAGCTGATTATTACTTGGATGAAAATGGCATTCATCACTTGGCATTTGAAGCTGTTGTCGAAGCACCACTAGATTCCAATGCATTTGCAACACTTCACATCAAAAGTGATTCCATTGTCATCGAAGGTTTTGGTGTTATAAAAAGTCAAGTGTTAAAATTTTCTCACTGATATGCACATAATTTTTTAACTGTAAAAATATACATTCCTCTCTCACAGGAGGTTTTTTTTAAAGTTTTGAGCCCTCTCCTTACTCCTCTGGAATCAAATCAAGCTTCATGCTTACCCTTAAGAACTTAAGGTTTTGAAATCCTCTCCTCCCTTGGATTTGCCGATGATGTTTCTTGGGGAGGGTAAGGATGTTTCCTGGGGCCAGGCATTTTGTCATTAGTGTTTCAAGGCCAGCTGGATTGCTGTTTGCCATTTAACCTTAGGTAGCACTCGTGCCTTCTACAAGTGAGTAGTGAACTTGATCATAGTGATTCTTGTTTTCTGATGGGACCATTTGGTAGGGAAAAGCCCACTAACTTCTTTGCAAGGTCCTTAAGTCCAACACCTGGTTTCAGACTCCCATTTGAGTTGCCTGCAGTAAAGGCTTATGCAACATACCATTTCTTGGCGTGATATTGAGTGACCCCATGAGGGGCTCCTGACTACATGTGTTTCAGTATAAGTTACGTGCATTTGTTTGCGAGCTGCTCTGGCAAATATGGATGGTACCTCAATGTGCTGCAGTCATCATAGCAAATGTTCATGTGCAAAATTCCATTAACTCTATATCACTACCACAGACAGCTTATAGTGGTGGGCCTCATGATTAATTTGTATATAACTTCTATATTTATGAGGAGGAGGAGGAGGAGGAGGCATGGTGGAGTGGTTATAGAGCACCAGACTTGAAATCTGGAGGTTGCAGGTTGATAATTCTTGTTCTGACCACTAGCTGGTGTTGTTCTTGGAAGTCCCGAGTTCACTCCTTGTTCATGCTTGTAAATAGCCAGCTGGTGTGCTCCCACCAGTTTGAAATTTTAACCATGTTATGTGCATGTACATTATTTGTTTCACTGTTTGTTTCCTTCGGTCCTGAAAAGCCTCACTGTGGGAGTGGTCAATTAAGGTATTAATATTTTATTTATTATTTACTTATTTACAGAACATCACAGGCCTTTTTACTAATATCAAGCTGGTCTCTGTAAAGAAATCTTATTTATTCGAACTTGATCATGTTCTAGCATCAAAGAGATGCAACTTGCATAATTTACGACTTACTTCATGTAACAGCTTGTGCTTAAGTTGCATGTGAAATCTCTTTTTTGGCTTTCTTGGCTTTTCTACGTTTTTAAATTTTGAAATCATTGTATTAGGGGTTTATTTCATGCTGATGAGCATGGAACTGTATACAAGGCAATAATAGCTTTTAACATGTCCCTAAGTTATGGATTATTGGTGTTGTAATCTTGTATGCCAGTTTTCCATAATTGTGAGTAAGTTTTATATACTGGATTGTTGGAAAATGTAATTCAAGAGTTTTCACTGGCTTAGCCATCGTGGTATTTTATCGATTACATCATGCTCTACTAATAACATTATGGCAAGTGTATGTGTAATGTTTTTGGCTGTTTGTATTTTTATTTTTTTTAGTTTTCTTCATTTTGGGGGTGTTTTTAATGAAACAATATTATTTCACTCACACTTGTTGGATATGAGATGATAAATAGCCAACTCAGCACTGCACGCCTCATTGGCTATCTAACATCTCATATCCAACACTCATTCATTGTTAAATGTGCATACAAGCCAAGTGGCCCATCAGGCCGGAGCTTATCCCGGTTTCAGTACCATGAAGCGACTAGGAGTATTTCTACTCCCCCCTGGATGGGATGCTAGTCCATTGCAGGGTTACCTTCCGGCATTAAGTTCGCCGGTACCCATTTATACACCTGGGTGGAGAGAGGCACTGTGAGAGTAAAGTGTCTTGCCCAAGAACACAACACAAAGTCCCCAGCCAGGGCTTGATCCCAGACTGCTCTCTCTGGAGTCGATCACACCAACCATGAGGCCACTGCGCCTCCCTGTTAAATATTGTTTTATTTTGCTCACATGTTTTAGTGGACAGTTAAATATATAGCTCTCCACTAAAATGTGTGAGCAAGTTAAAACAACCCTCCCAATTCTAACAGCCCAGAAAATGGCTTAAAATGGCTCCTGAAACAGGAAGTCTCCTTATCATAATTTTACATATCTGAGAACTAAAGTTTGTTTATGGAACTAATTCAAAAAGCAAACCCTGCATTTAGCTTTTTTTCAATCTCCCTGAAAGTCTTTATCAATCTCTCCCTGCCCCCACCCCCCAGAGATAAAAGCTAGAGAATTTTGGATCCAGAATAAGTCCTTGGATCACACAGGGCTTTGCCTACCTGGCACTATTATGCCTGAATGCCCCCTTGATTCAGGCCCTTATGAGAGCCATGATTGTAATGTCATTTGAGGGAACTGCTTAAAAAATTCTTTCCACTTTTTAATCTTTAAAAACTACAAAATCTTGTTGCGTGAATCTTGACTTCTTCTGTATTTTGATGCCAATTCTGACATTCGCTTTATATTGGACTTGGCAGGAGAACACTAGATGCTGATCAACTGAAATTGCAAACTGCTGCCATATTTTGCCTGTAAATGACTAAATGATCTTGGACCTGAATATCTGTGATCAAAGTTTACTGACCATAGGGAAGTTTTTACTTATTCAATAAGGGACTGTGCTTGAGGCAAATTAACTGTTCAGTTTCTCTGCACCAACTTTTTAAACAACAGTTTTCAACTATAGTGGTGCAGTGCAATAGGACAGTTTACCTTTTGAACTATGGCAAACACAAACTCTCACCAGTCTTAAATACAGCAGCAGTGGTTTCTTTTATATTTTTGTACAAGCCATGTTCGTATTCTCGGTATTGGACTGGAGCTAGCTTGCAACTGAAGCTAATGTGGGCAATCTTTTCAAATGTAAATGACTCTAATCGCTTTTTTTATTTATTTTTTATTTTTTTTTGTTTATTTATTTATTTTTTTTAATCGCTTTTTAATGATATTCCCCCGCACAAGCCTCCATTTCAATCTAGTTCCAGTCCAACACCGAGAATACGAATATGGCCTATTGATCTGTACAATGATAAAGTCAGAAAACACACAACATTTGTGACAAGCAGGCATTTTTCTTTTATTGTTATTGTCATTATTTTGAAACTAAATATAAACATAGTTTGTTAGGCCTGAAGTTTTTAATAACCATGTGGAAACAAAGTCACTGCCACGTAGGGATTATATATTTATTATGTAACTAGACCTACTTGATGAGAGTATACGATTTGATAATTAGTAATGTAAATTTACTGCAAGTCTAGCCTGATCTGTGGCACAACATACTTTAATTCTGGCATCAAACCTCTCCTTATGGACACCTCAATAACATGGACCACTGAACTATTAGATTTTATCAACTAAAAGTTGATGAAGGTAAAGTAACGGTAATGGCGAGTTTCTGAAGCTGATGTCTCGAAATTAGCCCTTGAAGTACCTATGAAATGAAAAAATAATTGCTGCTTATTTAAAAGGCTTTTCAAATTACAGAAGATTGGCATTTTCCTTCTTGGAATATCTTTTTCCGTTTTCGATCGTGTTATTGACATTTTTGTGTTATGTAAATTAGGAAAGATGATAGTGGAAATTTAAAAACACGGGCAGCTGGGATAATAAGTCCCTTCAACAAATCCCCTCTGGCTAGGAAAAATCCCTTTAGGTATTTTTATGTGAGAGGTAAAGAATTCTGTCTGTATCTCTGCTTATGAAAGAAACCAAAACCCGTTGTAAAACATTGATAGTTAGCTAAATAACTAGCTCAGTAAAACCACAAACAGCTCGATTTGGCTGATTCAAAACCTGAAAAAACAAAACACGAATATTTAGATGTGAATGGACTTGAAATCTTAGCGGAGGGGGAGTCCCCGAGAGTTGACCCTTTTGTGATGTCACTGAGGGGGTTTTCCCTTCGTGTATGCGCTGTCATTGGTCCTTTTATTAGCCATAAATATGGCGGGCAGACGCAGTTGTCATCGGTACTTGTTTCTTTGTTTCATCTTGAAGACTACCGAAACTGAGATAAGGCGCCATGATCTGTGAACGTAATAGCGAGAGGGAAGTTTTGTTCTCGTTTGGCTTAATCACCGACATCCAGTATGCTGACATAAACGATCGGCAAAACTATTCAAAGACAAAATGGCGACGATATCGAAACGCTTTGGTTTGCCTCCAAGAAGCAGTCGCACAGTGGAAAGAAGAGAAGTTTCCGCCAGCATTCATAGTGCAGCTGGGAGATGTTATTGATGGCTTTAATTCACATGCGAGTAATAACAAAAGAAATTTTTCAAAAGAAGCTCTCGACACCGTGTTGAACGAATTCTCAAAGCTTCCTCACGGAACACCTGTGTTTCATAACTTAGGAAACCACGAGCTTTACAATTTCTCTCGCGAGGAACTTGCAAGATCAGTTCTTCATCCCTTCAACAGCTGTGCGAGTGCCTCATACCTTAGCATGCATCAAAGCCATCCAGTAATGAGCAAAGGAGGAACCAAACCATTTTATTTCTCGTTCACACCACATCCCAAATTTTGTTTTGTTTACTTGGATAGCTACGACGTAAGCATACTTGGTGAAGATGAAAGTAGCCCTCGGTTCAAGCAAGGCATTGAAATGATACGCAGGCACAACAAGAACGACGATCTACAGAGCCCTGATGGTCTTTGTGGACTGGAAAGGCGTTTTGTCAGATTCAATGGTGCAATAGGCATGGAACAGCTGCTATGGCTTCAAAGTACTCTGAGGAAGGCAGAGGAACAAGGCCAAAAAGTCGTGATATTCAGTCACGTCCCAATCTACCCGAAAATGGTAGACAGCATGACAACATTATGGAACTACGAGGATGTCCTTGAAGTGTTGTGGCAGTTTCGCTGTGTCGTTGCCTGTTTTCACGGCCACACTCATGAATATGGCTATGGAGTGGATAAAAAAGGCATTCATCACTATGTTTTTGATGCTGTCATTGAAGCGCCACTAGATTCCAATGCTTTTGCCACACTGCACGTCAAAGATGATTCTATTGTCATTGAAGGTTTTGGTATTGTAGAAAATCAAGTGTTGAAATTTGCTCAGTGAGATTGGTACCATCTAACTAACATGCGGTAGCCATTGGTAAGGGATAGCTGAAGGCTTTTGTCTTGTGACCTGTAATTAGTAAGGATAGGCAAGGAAAGGAGCGGGCGGAGGGGGGAGGGGGGTATTCACATATGTTGTCTATATACATGTAGGTGTGTGCTGCGGGATAGGGCATAACTTTTGAGGTTCCCAATCCTTAAATAGGGTATTACTTTTGTCTCTGTTGGCATTGTGGTACCAAAGTTGTATCAGCAAAAATTCCAGGGCGTAAATGCCCAGCTAAACAAAAAACAAATTCTCTGCTTGATGCTCAACCTTAAGCTGAACCATTCATGCCAATTTCAGGTCTTGCTTTTCCATTGAACAGGGTGCCACTTTTCAGGTTTGTGCCTTAAATAGGGTATCAATTTGTGTTTGCTTCATCCTTAAATAGGGTCAGGGATTACCAATAAGACCTTGTGCGGGACACACTTATCTGACATTTATGAGTACCCCCGCCCCCGTCCTGGGTAAAGGAGATTATTTGTGGAAGGGCTATTTATGGTGCCTAGGACAAAGTTGCCTCACCCGAACTGTTCACCAGTTCTTATGTTCCTGGGCAGAGAGAGGCACTGCCAGGGTTTAGTGCTTGACACAACACAGTGACCCTTGCCTTTGCAAGAACCCAGACTGTGGCAGAGCTCCCTGCACTAACCACTTGGGTTTTAAGTAATTACAGATGGTGCCAG